GTCCTCTCCTGTCAGGTTGGTCATCTGCAGGGGTAGCAGGCTGCTGGAGTCATCCCTGGAGATGGTGAATCACCCTTTCATGTTGTCAGTGCAGTATATGGGATTGGAGGAAGGACCAATATAAGTGACCCAGCCCCTTCCCAGGAGGCCATGCAACACAGATTATGTAGCAGCTGCTGAAAATGAATCCAGAGGCTTTGCAGGAGAGGTGCAGAGTCTGCAGGTTTCCTTATGGCCCTTCCAAACCACCAGATGCATCTGGAACCAGGCACCTGAAAACCAAGGTATGGAACAGGAGTAAGTAGTATCAAGATGGGATCAGTGCAGCCCTCCCTCCCTTTCCCTAACTTATGGGAGGGTGAAATACCTTCCAGAACTGGGAAAGCACTAGGCCTGGTGTTGGCTGGTCATTGCACATGCCCCACAGGCATCGGATTACTTTTGTGGGTGTAGCCTGGGAAGCAAGATGGACTGATTTATACAGAGCAGCCTTCCTGAATTTGCATAGCCCTCACCCTATAAGCATCATCATTGTTTGCCCCCCAGGATGGGAATTGATTATTCTGGGTGCAGGCAGGGGCAGTTGGACCTGCCATCCGCTGTGTCGGGGCAACTCCCAGACAAAGCCTCATGGCACTGAATGTACTTTCAGTTTCCACGGTCTTTCACACAGTAACATAGGCATCTCCTTGGTCTCCATGTTCTCCCCTGGGAATGCACCACCCTCTTGGAGCTGTCCCTGGAGGCAGAGTTGGGTTTCCTTGAATTTCAGGGACCTATAAGGAGAAAGAGGGAGGGAGAAGAGGGAGGTGTTGGTGCTTCTTCCATGCACTAGCAGCATCCTTTGTGTGTGCAGCACCAGGGACAGCACCAGGAGACCCGGGTTCCCACCAGGCTTGAAGAGGAAACAGTCCCAGGCCTTGGAGACCCACAACTCCCCCAGGCACTGATTCCAGCCCTGCCGCTTCCTGATGACCCTGTGCTGGGAGGTCAACACTGGAGCCCCCCACCACCACCATCTCCCCCATGTGCAGTGGATCAATTGTATGGACAGCCTGCAGGGATCATGTGTTCACCAAGGCCCCCCCAGGGGAGGACAATAAATAATGGGCACAAGCTTATTGAGGATCACTTCAAACTAGATATAAGGAAAAACTTATTTGCAGGTGGAGTGCTGAGGGTTTGGAACAGGCTCCCTCCAAAGGTGGTACAGTCATCCACCCTGGTGATCTTCAAAAAGCATCTTGATGCCCACCTTCCTGTGGTCATCTGTGTGGCAGAAATGCCACCGTCTGTGCCCCTCTCCAGAAACCTGTCTCTGCCAGCATGAGAGGCTGGTGTTGAATCCCTCAGGGAGGGGGATCTTCCTCCCTGCCAACATGACAAATGCCTGGTGCCTCGGGTGTGGGTTCTCTGGTCACCTGGGGAGGGGGAGGGAAAAGCCCCGCTCACTGGCCCAGGTAGCCAGTGATGCTTTTTAAATTGGTTGGCTAGTGGCCAGCACTGGCAGCTTCAATTGGACCGGGCTGCTGGGGTCAGGAATGTTGTTATTTAAAGGCCCGGTCCAGGAAGAAGGCAGCCATTAGCCATGTGGTCATTCAGGTGAATCTGAAACTGGGAGAGGAACTTCACCATCTGAACCTGGCTCTCTCCTCATCACCGCATGCTCAAAGAGTGCCCTGCCTCCAGAGGAAACTCCAACCACCTCTGGATGATGCGTGTGAGTAAGCTACTCGAGATCCGATTAGATATTTAGCTTCAGTAACTCAGATGCAGGATCAAAAGGCTACCTCAGCCCTACGGGTTTGCTCTATGGGATTCCTCTGATATTCCTCTGATATTCCTATGATACTGCTCTACCTTTTACCCTGTTTGCGCCCTACCCCTGTAATCAATAAAGTTCTCCTTTGTGACCGGTGTGGGAGACTTATTGAGGGGTAGGTCTAAATTATGCCGAGGAGGCCCCTTAGGTCTGTGGACTAAGGGCGACTTTCCTATTAAGCCCCTGACTTGGGGAAGTGCCCCAAGTGCTTGTACTGGGTCTAGCACCCATTGGACGATCAGGCCTGTGTTTTCCAAGGTACGCAGAGCCAGAAGTGAGTCCAGAGCCTTGGATGGTGGCAGCGGGACCCCCAGGCTAGCGGGTGTGCTCCAGGGAAGGGGTCGGCCGGACGGGAGGCACCCTAGGGAGGCACTCGGAGCCTGGAAGGTGGTCGGGTGCAGGGAGGTGGGCGGCTCAATGCAGGAGCGCCCTCTACTGGCCCGCCACACTTGCATCCTGTGGGGATTGGGAGTCATGTTGGGTGCTTGACTACTGGTGTCATGCTGATTGCCCTCTGGGCAGGCAGGGCCAGAAATTGTGGAAGTGCTCAAGGGAGTGAAGAGCTCCGGGACACTGCACTTGAATGTGACTGGTCCAAATACAAGAAGCTCTCAGATGGTGAAGGCTGATCCCGTTGGAGTTTCCCTCCATGCACATGAGGTTTCCAGGTTGCAACTTCCCTGATCTGAGTTGTTGAAATTGTGCGATGTTGATAAAAACCTTCTTCCCCTTTTTGTGCAGCCCCGGCCCTGCTCTGTGTCACTGTGTCTCTGGCACAGTAATACGTGGCGGTGTCTGCGGCTGTCAGAGAGCGCAGCTGCAGGGAGAACTGTTTCTGGGAGGTGTCTGCCGAAATCGTTACCCGGCCTTGCAGGGAGGAGGCATAGTCTGTGTACCACCTGCTATAAGAGGTGCTATAATAGGTGCGTCCTATCCACTGCAGCCCTTGGCCTGGAGGTTGCCGGATCCAGGTCCAGGCATTCCCACTACTGAGAGATTCACCGGAGACAGTGCAAGTCAGGGTGAGGGTCTGTCCAGGTTTCACCACCCCTGGGCCAGACTCGACCAGAGTCACTGCAGACACGGCACCTGGGAAAAAGCAGTAAAGAAGGCAGAGAGTTAGCCACCGATGCAGTCCCTTTACTGGTTGCTGATGTTGCCCCCTGCCCCCCGGACACTCACTGGAGAGAGAAGAGATCAGGGCAATCACAAGTAGGGTGGTCTCCATGTTGATTTTCATAGAGAAAGAAGCTCCCAAAAGGCAATAGGGGACAGGGCCAGGGATCTGCAGAGGCTGAGGCTCCTTGGATGAGGGTTTGCTATTTAACCAGCCAGCCCTGGGCAGGGATTTGCATGTGGCTTCCCCAGGGTGCATATAGGAGGTTCTAGGCTCTGAGCACTCAGTACATGATGGATGCCCCTGTGGGGCCAGAACTGCTGTCTGCTTTGTGCTATAGAAGTTGTGCTCCACTCAGTGCACACAGCCCCTGAGCTCATGTTCTCTGGGGGGGCAAGGAGTGTCTGGAAGACAGGACACTGAGAGATGGGGCTTTGGAGATCCCCTTTGTGCAGGGTGGGGAGTGCACCATGTCTCCGATGAGAGAAGCTCCCAGGAGAGGTACCTTCAGGTGGACTTCACTGTGCTCTGGGGTCAGACCTCCTGGGCTGTGCCTGGCTGGGACCCAGAGCTTCCTGGACATGCCCTGAGCATCTTCAGTGGAGGTGGCCATGCCCAGAAGCCTGGGAAAAATGGAGGAACTCCTGGGGGGAAGGAGCCAGTGGTTCTGGGAAGGTCTGGAGAGGCTGGGAGAGAGGCAGGGAGTAAGGAACTGGGAAGGCAGATCTGCTGTGAGCATTTGAGGCCTTTGCTGGAAACCAACTGAGGTTAGATATTGGTGTCTCACATCCCCTTTATCAGTTTCCCCCTTGGCTGCTGCTGGTTTTGGGAGTTCCTGGGGGCTGTGAGGGTCTGTCCTGGGGCCACTTCCCATCCTGTACAGCCCCTGCTTTGAACAGAGCACTGGCTGAGGCCCAGGGGCTGTGGGTTGTCTCCTGGGACTGTCTAGACCAAGAGGGCAAGAGAAGGCTACTGCAGTTAAGGGGTGTTTCCCCATTGCATCTCCCCCATCAGGCTATGAGGAGGCCACGGAGTGGGCACTGAGAAAGGGAGTGGGGAAGGCAGAGAGCAAGGAGCTGCTGGCTTCACATGTCTCTAAGCTGTGTACAGAGAATGGCATTTGGGAGAAGACAAGTGAGGAACAAGCTGTCCTTTTCATCTAGGTTTTCGTTGCATGAGATCCACTTCCACTTTAACACTGGCCCAGTGCTGGCAGGAGTTTGCAGACCCTCCTGCCACCTTTACTTGGACATAGATGGAGCTTTTGGTAGTGGAGACTGAATGAGGAACATGGGTACCAGGAGTTTTGACCATAACCAAGGAGTGTAGTTTGATGCAGCTTAAGCTGTCCAAGTCCAGTGACATGGGAAAAGAGTGGGGAGTCTCTTCTCTTGTTCCTGCCTATTTGTCCTGATCAGGCACCTTCATATTCACTCTTGGTTTGGCAGGGACTTTGGATGGAAAAATCTCACTGCTCTTGGTTGTGTTGGGCTCCCTGCACTGTGCAAGGTCCCCTTCCTCTTTGTGCCCTGTCCCTCTTTGCTCTGTGTCACCGTGTCTTGTGGCTCAGTAACAGGTGGTCATGTCTGCTAGGGTGAGGGAGCTCAGTTGCCAGGGGAGATGATCTTTGGACTATGGCTCAGAGATGCTCATCAAGCCCTGGGGAGTGGAGTTGGAGATGGTGTTTCTCTGATCTTTGTCATTTCCCACCTGCTCCAGGCCTTTCTGTGGAGTCAGAGCTTTAATGCAGGACCTGGTGCTGGCTAACAGACCAGGGTGAGCTCTTTCCTTCCCCAGGTGACATCTATCCACCCACCCATGCATCTGCACATATTGGATCTGTCTGTCTTTCTCCTTGTTCTACAGCTCCTCATCTTTTTTTCCTTCTCCTCAGTGTCATGATGGGCCGAATCCACTCCAGCCCTTGGGTACCGTGTTGTCCTGCACTAAACCCTTGCCCAGGGGTCAGTTAGTGGGTGCTTGGATTTGAGTGAAACCGGTAGGCACTGTGGTGCCTCTAGCCAGCTTCCCCTTTTTGCACAGCCCCTGCTCTGCTTTGTGTCACGGTGGCATCCTGGCACAGGAGTACATGGCGGTGTCTGCGGCTGTCAGGGAGCGCAGCTGCAGGGAGAACTGGTTCTTGGAGGGGTCTGTGGAGATGGTGATTCGGCTCTGGAGATGAGAGGCATAGTCTGACCTGCTAGTTGAATATTGATACCCCATCCACTCCGGCTGCTTCCCAGGAAGCTGCCGCATCCAGCTCCAGTAGTAGCTTCCCGTGATGGAGACACTGGAGACAGTGCAAGTCAGAGAGAGGGTCTCTCCAGGCTTCAGCACCCTTGGGCCGGGTTGGACAAGTGTAACTGCAGCAAGGGTATCTGGAAAAAGAAGACCAAGGAAAGAGAGACTCAGCCACCAACTAAGTCCGTGAACCAGCCCTTTCCCCTTCCTCCCCCTTGGAGGCTCACAGCTGGGAGTAGAGAGCAGGGAAAGGAGCAGCAGCAGAGATGTCATCGTTGTTCCCAATAAGTGAGGGAGACCCTCCCCCTGAACAGTCAGGACAGAGGCTAGGTAGGGACTGAGTCTGTAGGATGTGGGGCTGTATTTACCCAGGAGTCCCTGGATAAGACTTTGCATGTGGGTTCCCCTGGCAGATAAGAGAGGAGAGCACTTGGCTCCTGCCTGCCCTGTGGAACTTGTGGCAAGGAGATGCATCCCCCTAAATTGAGGCACAGAGTT